GTAACTATCCGAAATAAAGCTCATGCCAATGGCCTAAGTGGTCACCTTTAATATTAAAAAAAAAAAAAAAAAATATTATTATTATTATTATTATTATTATCATAATAATAATTATTATCATTATTATTGTTATTATCATTGCTACTACTATCATAACTATATTGAGAGTGACTATAATTAGATAAATGTCTTGACATAATTGAAGTAGGAAGAAGTTAAATAACAAAAAAATTATTTGATTTAAAATTTTTAGATGATATAATATATAGATTATTAGACATGTAAACAAATATTAAAAACCATCATGTGAACAATTCAAAAAATTAATATAATAATTTTATTAAAAAGTAAAAAAAAAAACTACAAAAATTATTGCTACTCTAAAACAAAATATAAATTCTCTTTACCTTCTTCTTTCTTCTTCTTGGTTTCTTTTCTCCTCCTCCTTTTTTCTTTTTTTTTCTTCTTCTATTCTTCTTCTTCCTCTTGTACCCCCTTCTTTTTCATTTTCTCTTTTCTTTTTTGCTTTACTATTACATTTTGGCATAACTTATGTAAGGCAATATTACTATTTTTGAACCACATATGGTATCTATTATGTTTCTCAACCAAATACTCATATTTTTGATTTCAGAAAAACATATATTAGAGTAACTTAACAGCTGTTAGCTGCATTTCATTGATAAGGAAATGCAAACTAGTAACTTGGTGTTGTAATCAATATTTATGAGAGCTATATAAATATTATTATTAGTATAATTTTTTCATTACTTTTTCTTTTTTCTTTTTATTATATATTTACGAAAACTCTACAAGTCACTCTTGTTATAGTGAAGTTATCGGGAAATGAAAATTTCTTCACTATATCAAGAGATTCACTATATCAAGAGGCTCTCGATATAGTGAAGATAATATATTAGATATATAGATTTTCACTATAATAAGAGAAAATTTAAAATATTTAAAAACTAGATATGTATGATTGACTCTCCATAAGTGCATCCCTCTATAAGTGTGCTTCACATGCACTGTTCCTCTATAAGTGCAATTTATATAATATTATTTGTAGATTATTCTTTATAAATACATATTCCATAAATGCGTACTTATAGAAGGTTATAGTTTTGTATGGGTATGTAGTAGCCTTCAGCCACAAGTTATTCACATACCCATACAATAACATTATTGCACAGTGTCTGGTATACAATTCCATACAATAACCAAGTTAAAAAAGCACAGATTGTTACATAAGACCTGTATAATAACTCAAGTTACAAAAACAAAATACTTGATATTATTTCAATATGCAAATAAAGAAAGCTTTAAGAAAGAATTTTAGATATAAGTAATGCTAGTAGAATATATTTTAATAAGTTAAATTACAACTTTTTTATATTATAAATAATTGAGCCTAACTTATTTAAATATACAAACGATTTTTGATATTAACCTAGTATAAGTATTCTTGCAATATATTAATTTAATGCTTCTTAACTTATTTATATTTTAAATAGATTTAAGTTAATTACAATTACACAATGTAAAATACACTAGACAAATTAAAATATATTTAAAGCAAACAAGTTTATTGAGCCAATTTACTTAAAAAAAAACTTTAATTTGTACTATAAATAAACATATCTAAGGTAGCTTGTTGTTTTGAAGCAATACACTTAAAATTTACTTCTTTTTTAAGTTGTCTTAAACCCTGAATAAAAGAATCTTTAACTTTGAAATTACTATCAGGTTGTTGCTCAAGGAAAGATGAGATTCCTTTAATGAATTCCAAGGCCTGAACAAAGAAGATTAATTTTTTTGGACTTTCATCTTCCGGTTCAATACATTCATAATTCTTAACAGATTTAATTATTTCTTCATCAGTTGGAATCTCAGTAGCAATAAGATCATTATCAGCAATTATATATTGATATGCACTCATGGGTTGGTCAAGAGGTAACTGTCCAATTAAATTCTGAATTTCATCTATAAGATCTGATTTATTGGTTAAACTAGAATTCTCAAAAAGAAATAATTCATCAAAAAAATCCTTTGGCAGAATGTCAGTTTTTTTCCAATAGTTATAAATAGTTTGTAAGGTTACTTTTTTTCAAGCAGTGATGGTAAAATCAATTGCATCCTTAATATTTAAGGGTTTAGGAGGTTCACCAGATTCTAAAAAAAAATTGAATAAATCTATACAATCTTGGCAGAAAATTTTTTTATAATACGCCTAAATTATATAAACAACAATGTGTTAATAATTTTTAATAAAAAAAATTTTTATAAGAAATTATTTAGCTTACTTTGAAACTCCAAATAATTCTCATATCACATAGTTGCAGGTGAGCTGTTATATTCGGAGGAAGAATATGAAGCTTTATATTTGTTGGAGTGTAGCCTTCTTCAAGTCTATAAGTTGATGCTCCATCCATGAGAAGAAGAATTGACCAACTAGCAAGTCTCATTTGATTATCAAAATGCTTGATATATTGATTAAAAATAGACGTTTGTATCTAAGCAGAACTGTTTCAGTAATAATATACAGGTAAGGTTGATTTATCAACATTATGAAGAGCTCTAGGATTTTTATATTTGTGTATAAATAAAGGAGAAAGTTTATGCTCTCCAGTTGCATTGTATATTAATAAAATTGTTATACAGTCTTTGGCTTTTTTTTTTTTCAAAACTGAACTACTAGCCAATATTTTGTCTAGTTTTATATACTAGTATAATACTGTCCCATCTGCATTGTAAATATCCTTAGGCTTATACTCTTTGATTATTTTATATAATTCATTATGAAATCTAGAAAGGTCTTCAAGTAGTGCACTTGTGGCTTTACCTTGACACCTGTATTCCTTTATATAATAACACTTCTTAAAATTCGAGAGCCATTCTTCAGAAGTATTGAAACCCATTATACCAAGACCTTCTGCAAGTTGAACTACCTTGTGTTAAATCATTACTCCTGTAACTGTTTGTAATGCCTCAGTTACTCTTGATACCCAAAGAGCAAGTGCCTCTTCTAGTAGAAGAAACTTTGCAGTTCTTTGTTATTTTAATTTAACATTATTAGAACCTAGTTCAAGTGATAACTACCTATTTTTTTCTCGAATAATATTTGAAATTGTTGCTTCAGCAACAGAAAATTGTTTAGCTAACTTGACTTGACTAACACTCTTCTGTTTTAGGTGGCATTTTTCTGCTTTTTGAGTACCTGTTAAGCTTTTTCTTTTTGCAGGTGATTCATTTTCTTTATTATATTTTCGCTTCTTTGGTTTCTTGGAAGATTTTATACCATCACTCATTACTATATGTATTCCTTTAATTTCACCTTGCTAATTACTGTTACTGTGATTTGAAAACACTACTGCAATTATATAACACTTAAATCACTGGGGTCTTCTTGTATATAATAACGAGGAAAAGAAGAAGCATAAAAAAAAAAAAAATTTTCTTTTTAAAAAAAAAAAAAAAAAAAAACAAAGCACATAAGTTGTAAATTAAGTTCAGAAGTTTAAAGGTTCAAAGGTTTATTCGAACTCTCTAAAAATTAATGATAGTTTAATATATATTAAAGAGTGTCGCTTATAATTTCCAATACATATTTTTTATATATTTTGCTTAACAATTATGTACGTACGTACGTATATACGTACATACTTTTAGAATTTACTACAAAAAGCACATGTCAATATGCACTATGTAGCTAAAAAAGAAAAATAACCCAAAATCTTTACTATGATATATGCATATATGATCATTAGGTTGCTTCATCTGATTGGTTAATTTATATTACATGACACTGACTTCACTATATCAAGTAACATTTTGTTATATCTGTTCGCAAAAAATCTTCACTATATCTTATATCGAGAGTTTACTATATAACTTCACTATATTGAGAGAATATTTAATATATTTGATTTTGTACTAAAAAAATTCTTCACTATAGACCAATCTTCACTATAACGAGAGTTCACTATAACAAGAGTGACTTGTATATTATTTTTTATTTTATTTTTTTTTTAAGCGATCCTGCTTTTATTTATATGAACTGTTATATTATTTATATACAAAGTACCTAATTTTTATAACTTGTAGCTCTATCTTAATAAAGACTCACCAGGTAAGATACCTAATACGACCTGCTATAACAACTGTTTACCTCTCTTAGGTTCCTTAACTTACTAAGGATTTTCTACTATTATCTAATGCCCCCTTGGTTATAAATAAGCCATTGTATGCCTTGTCAGAACCACCTATCTTTCTTTAAAACTTTTCTTATCTAGATCCAAGCAGAATAGTTTATCTCTTACATTTGTATAAAGGAAGAAAATAAATATCATGTTTATAAAAGAAAAGAAAATTTAGAAAAACAAAAACATATAAAGAAAAAAAGAAAAAAAAAACAAATAGCCTAAAAATAATTTAACTATAAATGGACAAAGATAAGAAAAGCAAAAAAAAAATTGATAATCCTAACATATTTCTAGTAGAAGACAAAAAGAAAAGAAAAAGAGAAAGAGAAAACAAAAAAAATATAAAAAGAAATATGCAGTGTGTAGTGGCTTCAGTAGCCTAAAAAATTATATGATACTAAGTATTGAGATCTCTATGTCATCTATAACTACTGTATCATACATAATCAGTATACGTATTGTTTATTTCAGACATGTGTAAAGATTAATATGTAATTCCCAGTTTCCTGATTTGGATTGTGTAAGCACTGTCGATCAATTGGAGGGGCAAACCAAATTGCTTACTTTTCGTCAAAAAAAACTTTGAAACAGAGGGAAAAATAGGAAGTAGCCAACTTGAGGAGAATAATAAGAGTTACACTATACAGAGTATTATATCTAACAAAGTAACTACTTCTGTCAAGGCTTCTATAGTACTTAACAAAGCTCCAGAGCCTGTCTGCTACTTCTTTGCTTGGTATCAGGAAAATAAATATAATGCAGATCTGCAAAGATCTGTGACTCTGAAAATTTTTAACAAATTTTGTGATAACTCGTAATCTAGTAATCAGGATTTAACGATTTTGATACCATTTGATTCGTCTCAATGAGATGGATCAAATAGTACTAAAATTGTTAAATTATGATCACTGGGTCACAAGATAATTATATTTGTGTATATTTTATAACCATCAAATGGACTCGTTCACCAGCAGTCCAAAATTAATGATTTTGGTACCATTCGATTCCTCTTGGTGAGACAGTTCGAATAATACCAAAAACATTAAAATTGGATCATAGTGAGATATTCACAAAAAATGCTTTGCGGCACAGTTCTGCGCAAAAATTTAAAAAAAAGATTGAATTTCTGTGCCGCAAAGCATTTTTTGCAAATATCTCACTAACCTGTAATTTGATTTTAATATTTTTGATATTATTCGAACTGTCTTACTAAGAGAAATTGAATAATATCAAAATCATTAATTTTGGACTGCTGGTTAACGAGTTCATTTGATGGTTGTAAAATACACACAAACGTAATTATCTTATAACCCAGTGATCATAATTTAATGATTTTAGTACTATTCGATCCGTCGTATCGAGACGAATCAAATGGTATTAAAATCGTTAAATTCTGATTACTGGATCATAAGTTATCCCAAAATTTGTTAAAAATTTCTAGCATTGCAGATCTTTGCAGATCTGCACTATATTTATTTTCCTTATGTGGTAGCACCAGAGTCTTCTGCCAGATGACTTCGCTTTCAAGGGTGACTCTTTTCAAATCTATTTTACTTACACTAATATGCAGTGAATAGCTACTGATTCCTGCTATTACTAGTAGAGTTTTGTAGTATTCAAACATATTAACTATATAGTTTTCATAGGTTAGACTTTTTTGAGAAGTTGGTACAAGAGATCATCAGGAAGTGTTTTTGCATGAAGACTCTGCATTATTATTATTATTATTATTACTATTATTATTATTATTATTATTATTACTATTATTATTATCATTATTACTATTATTATTATTATTATTTTGATCATGATAATAGAAACTATGTTTCAAATGATCTCAACAATAATTGTATTTGGTCATAATTACAACAAGAAGAAAATTTATAGATGGAAGCAAAAGTGTATACAGTATAACATATAGCCCATCTTATAATTTGAAGATTATCAAACATGAGGCTAAATTGAACAATTTTTTTTTTTTTTTTTTTTTTTTTTTTTATTAATATAATGTTATAGTAGAAACTTTATTACAATAAACCTATATTA